GTATATTTCTATAAAGTGTAAAAATGAAATTTATCGAGATGGTTGTTTCATGTGGAGGTGATATGGAATGTCTCTCAGAGGTGAGAAACAGGATCTGAATGAACTACTTCTAAATGCATGTCAGGAACCTCTCAGTATTGTTGTACTTTTTAATTAGATGAAAATAAATGAATTGAAAAGATGAAAGGAACTTGTAACATCGCACTTCAAAGGACAGTTCCACTCTTAGGAGTATTAAAAAAAATAAAAATGAAAGAAAGGAAAAGCAGCTTATTCAAGAAATGCGCTTTTTCTTCCTATGAATTTGCCTTCACTTTTACCTGCCTCAGAAACTAAGGCATGACTTTTGCTCATCTGACCTAAATTGAGTCATTGCCCTGGTGTAAGGAAGAGTGGAGCCTGACTGACAGCAGTGTTCCCTCTGCACTCTGGGCTTTGTATTGACTCAGCAATACTCTCAGATGAGCTGAATTATTTTTGACCTTGTGGAGGAATTTTTATCAAAGTTTCAAAGCTCTGGGCTGTACTCTGGCCAGAGAAATTGATGTGCAGTGTTTCTGTGTCTGGATTTACTTTGGGTAAATGGAGAGAGAAAAAAAAAACAGCCCTGAATGTCTCATCTGCCTGCTGGGCAAGTCAGCCTTCCCAGAAAGCAGAAGCCGGTATTCCTACCTAAAAGCTGTGCTGTGTATACTGTCCATATACAGAATAACATGTTATTTAAGATATTTCACAACCTTAGCAATAGCCAATTAGTCTTGAACCCTTTTAGACCCTTTACTTAAGCCACTGCTGTCCATCTTTGGGGTTGTATTTCTGTCTTGCACCAAATTTTGCCTCTCTCTTTAAACAGGAATACTTTCATTTGTCTTCGTACACTTTATTTCTAATCCTATCTGTCCAGGGCATGATGTGTTAGAATATTTACATGCAAAAGTGACCTGGGTAAGAGAGAAAGAGAGAATTCAAACTGTCCAGGAAAATCACTGTTTCTTTCACTGATTCTGTTGCCCTGAAGTTTAGAAAACTACGTTTGTATGCAGAAGCCTAACAGAGAGTTGTCATGACAAGCACTCAACAGTATTCAAATAAAAACTAGCCTTCTCCAGTCCTGAGGAAATCGTGACAGTGGGACCTGTAAGCAGTTTTCTCTCATGGCTCAAAGGAAGAATCCACACTCTTAGAAGCACAGGTCTTGTGTGTCCTGCAAAGGAAGAGCAGCTCATCAACTTCATAACTCCCTGATAAGATTTAGACAGGCTGCTCTGTGTCTGTGTTATGCCGTGAGCTGTTTAAGGAGTTTGCCAAATAGCAGGTTGATGTGAAATGCTATCAGGTTTTCACAAACACAATTAGCTAAGCAATTGAGCTCATCCCAGCTGTGATTAAGTGGGATTAATTATAATAAGAACTAGCTGAGAGAGGTAAGCTTGATGTTTCCTGGGCTGCTGCTCCGCGCTATTATCCTATGTAAGTATCCTTTATACATCGTCAGCTGCAGAGACTTCATTACTTTGGGAAATGGCTGCTGGACCAGCATTAAAATGAGCTTCATCCTAAACTGATTGTTCTAACACTGGAACTGCCATTGAGTGTGAAAACAATTAGTTTGAAGCATCAATTACATCAGAAAGAAAAGCAGCCATTCAAATCAATGTTTTGCAATGTAAAGGAACATGTTTATCTTTGGTCCTAAATAGAGTTGAATATTCTGGGAAAGAGCTCTCTGTATCCCAAGAGAGGAATAGCTTCATAGCATCATGGTTTGCTTTGGTAATGATTAAATTTCTATAGTTTTTAGGACTTCACTTAGTGAATACCAGAATTGGCCCTGCATGTTGCAGGGGGGTTGGAGATTCATGATCCTTGAGGTCCCTTCCAACCCTGGCCATTCTGTGATTCTGTGATAATTTGTGTAAACTTCTCAAGGGGATAAAGCAAAATGATCAATTAAATAGCTGGAAGTATGGAGGGGATGACAGCATTACATGAAGTTGTGCATAGGATGTTCACTATATCTGGATATTATACACGAGAATCAAGTGTAATGGCAATTGTGTAAATACACACATTGTAGAAATGATAGAATGCTAGTGCTTTCTTTGCCAGAAAAGCCAGTAATGTAGAAATCGAGTAGGCAAATCCAAATACAGGAATGAACATTGCAAAATATTGTATCTGTATCTGAACTCGGAAAGAAGACTTGCCCATGTCTTTGAGGAAGTATTTTTGGCATTTTATTTTAGCCCCCAGCATGATTTAGATGCAGGGTTACTGGAGTGAGTCTAGAGGAGGGCCATGAAGACAATCAAAGTCCTGAAGCATCTCTTCTGTGAGGAAAGGTTGAGGGAGTTGGGCTTGTTTAGCTTGGAAGAAGGCTCTGGGAGACCTCATTACATCCTTCTAGTACTTGAGGGAAGCTTATGAAAAGCAGAAGGGGGAATGACATTTTAGATGATCTAATAGTGATAGAACAAGGAGAAATGGCTTTAAACTGAAAGAGGAGAGATTTAGTTCAGGTGTTAGGAAAAAATTTTTTATGCAGAGAGCGGTGAGGTGCTGGAGCAGGCTGGCTGGAGAAGCTGTGGATGCCCCCATCCCTAAAGATATCCAAGGTCAGGTTGGATTGGGCCCTGAGCAGCCTGAGCTGGTGGGTGGCAACTGTGCCCATGGCAGGGGGTTGGAGGTTAATGATCTTTAAGGTCCCTTCCAACCTAAACCATTCTATGATTTGGTAATTATTTTTATTTTATGGCTTCTGGTTCTTGTAATGGAGCTTCTAGCCATCACTTTTTTTGCATCTACTATCATAATGATTGCACTGTTCTGGAGCATAATGTTTGATGAAAAAAACATGATTGTGCTTGCTTTATTTTTTCTGAACAGAAGGAAATTCCTCATCTCTGGACAACTTTAGTGAAAATCTTTAAGATTATAAAACATTATCATGGTTCATGCATCTTCTGTTGCTTAGTGATGCATGCACTACAGTTGTCTCCTGGGTTAGCAATCACATATGATTTGGGGGCCTTTGAAGATCTCTGCTGACATCTTTGTAGCCTTTTCAAGTACTTTTCTGATGACTGTTGCAGAGGGTTATGCCCTTGTTGATGGGCTCAGTGGCAGCGTCTCTACTCTGGTCTTCAAATCCCAGTGCAATTGCTTAACTAGTCATTGCCAATGTTTGATCAGGGCCGATCACCTCCCTCTTAAGTAGTCTTTCTATAATCTCTGCTTAGCAACTGTGTGGGACCAGAGTAGTATTTCCCTCTGAACATGAAATTTTGTTACTGTTTTTCTGTATTTAATTTTGAAACATCTCCTAGCATCTGCCTTCTTCTCTTTTCTCTCATCATTCTTTTCTAGCTTTCTGGAAGTATTGCTTCCCTCTGATAATGATCCACACCTTGTAACTGAAAACCAGTGAGGTTAAGGAACATAATATTTTGCTATTCAGTATTATTAGACAAGATCCAGAAATTTCTAAGAAGGATTCTTTGGCCTGTGTTGTTTTGGAAAGTGTGAGCACAAATGATTCCTTTTGGACTATTCTTCCTTGCACCACTTCCCTCTTATCGTTTCATTTGTAATTATTTACTGCTTCTGTTATTTGTCGTAACTGAACACACGACCTTACAGAATTGAATCCAGTCACCAACTAGCCCTGCACAGTAGTCAGGTATTGCACTTATATAGAACTTTATCAAATATTTTTAGAAGCTTTGTATGTTCTTCAGCTCACTGTCCTGTCTAAATTGTCTTGTTTCCATTAGTAGATAAGTATGAAAAATGTCTGTTGAAGTGAGAGCTATTATGTTATTCTGTTAAGATTTATTTTATTAAAGAAAATGTATTTGAAGTCTTGATGTTTTGCATCTCTGAGCCTTTTCACAATACGTATATAATTATGGCACCAAAAGCTTTCTATCTGTATTAAGGAAAGTGATACATCCAGGAAAAAAATAGTCTTTTTTTTCTTATGTATCATGTGTACATGTAAAATATTTTTTTACCCCAAAGTTCCTCTAATGTACTTGGTGATATTCAGCTGTGTTCAGTTTGGACATCATCAGCTCTTTCAAGGAACACCATGATCCTGGGAAGGCTTTGTCCTCAAGGTGAAAGTTTTGCTTTAAACTTGAACCATGAGACATGATCTTAATTTCAGTCTTACGCAGTAGCGAGTTCTGTATATTTAACCTTCAGTTGTCAGCATTATTCTGCTTGTGAAACAAGCTGAATGGTCACTCCTTAAAACTCTTGGTAGGCTGTACACATATTTTGATGCCTGGTATGACTTCCCTTCCCTTCTGCCCATTCAAAAGTCTCTTGGGCTCTCTTTCATGAACATAACCCCTACCTGGGAGCTGCATCTTCCTAGTTGCTGGAATGGCTGCAGAAGTTCATCACATCAAGCACTGTCTCTGTTTCATGCTTACGCTGTTGGTTGTGTATGCATGTCCTGCCCCATCCTTTTATAGTGCTTCTGCTATAGGTCTGTTATTTTTCCTTTCCAGTAGCACTGCGTGGATGGAAATTTGTTACTAATCTTCCTCCTTCCTCCAAATAAGGAAAGTCTCTTCTTGTCTTTCAATTCAACTACTAAATGTAATCACATGGAGTAGAGCAAATACAAAATGTCCACCTGTTGCTTCACCTATTCCCATCAATTTCTAAGAGTAGGAGGAGACAACTTAGAACCTTATGATATCAGGGCATAAAATGTAAGCATTACTTATTACTTTGAAAATCCAAAATATTCAAGTAGCCAATATAGGAGAAAATAGAGCTGTTATGTACAAGCAATCAAATGAGCTTCTAGTTTTAATAATACATTCTGACTGAACAAGACTGGCACTTGAAGATGAGTCCCTGAGGGAGGCGTTCCCATTCTACAAGTTAGATTCATTGGATACAAAAGAGTAACTCTCAAAATAGATATGAAGTTTGTATGATACCTGCATGATTTGTTTACTGTGCTGCTTTGTTCCATTCTTCAGGTTTGAAGACGGCACAGTCTCTTTTCTTGATATCATTGCTTTGAAACATGGATTTGATGTTCTGGAAAAACTCACAGGTCAGTTAACATAACTTTAATAATGAAGTCTGAATTACAGATTTTTACTTGGGAACCAAATATGGTTGTATTTTCCTGTGGCTGTAGCTTAATTTTTCCTTTCTAGATTTATAATCCACATTCATCAATATGAAGATTGGAGTCTTCAGGATAACTGGTTTATTCGGGTGTTGTGTATTTGATCATTCTGAACTTCTTTGGAAAAATTAAAGTATCCAGACTGTTCTCCCCAAACACACATGCAGGACGTGATTATATCAAGTTCTTGCTGTCTGCCTGACACTTAGAAAGATGCAATAGGAAAATAATAGTAGGATGTAGCTGAGCTACATTCTATTCAGGCTTGAGGCTGTAAGAGTTGCTGCTGCACACGAGGACCGTGCAACTTGACCTCGTACAGCAAAGCAATTTAGTAATAGACATTTACAGAGAAATCAAGAAATAGTTTAGAGAACACCCTTTGTGATAGGAAATGCACTTCCACTAAGTGAATATTTCTTTTCATACAGCAAACTTTTCAAACCTTGGTTTTTCACGGCAGTTATTTTGTCTGTACTTTGACACACTGTACTGGAAAATAGCATTATGTGTTCCAGTGCTGTTATTGTTTGGTTCTCTGGTTTTTTGTTTGTTTGCTTTTTCTTATTTTGTTCTTAATGTGATATAACCTAGCACTGTAGATCTTAGAGAAATTCCCATTTCCCCATGGAAAAGCACATGATTGTGGAATTGTAGTACACTTCCTGTTTCTTGAAGTGCGGGATGAAAGGAGAAGAAACACCAGTCGCAACTCGCAGCAAGGGAAGTTCTAACTAGGTATGAATAAGTTTGGTTTTTTTCAGTATGAGCGTAATCAAATCCTGGAACAAGTGCCAGAGAAGGTTGTCAAATGTCCATACTTTGAGATGTTCAGAATTGACTTGGTCCTGAACAGTCTGATGTGGCTTTACAGTTAGCTCTGCAGTGAACTGGAGGTTGAAATAGGTGACCTTAGGAGGTCAAACATGAAGTATTCTATCCTTCTCTAAGTACTGAGGGCTACTGCTTCCCTTCAGGCTAAGGATATTGTAATACGGATAGGTGTACTGAGCTGTGCAAAGTGGGGGACAGACCTTTCCAGTTACTGCTTAGAGCATGTTCACACAGCAGTCAGCCTGTGGCTACGTGTACAGAGATAACTACAGCTCACATCCTGCCATCTTCATCTCTTCTGTGCTTTGTGAGTTTGACATTCCCTGGTCACAGGGACTTTGGGAAGCCTGTCCAAACCTGCTAAATGTCTGTTTGCAGTAGTCTTCTCCAGGAAGATAACTTATATGGCATGTTTGCTGCATGATTTCATTTCCCTAGGGCAAGTGCAAGTAGACTGGGATGAGGGGCTACTGCAGGCTTTCTAGCTTGCTAGGGAGTCTTCTAATTTTAACCCCTTTTCTTCAGCTCTGACTGTTTGAGCACCTTTGAACCCTCAACAGTTTGAGCTATAACCTGGCACTGGATCATTGTCTTCACGACATTCTGTGTGCCATGTTGACTCCAGGATGCCCTGCTGTGCTTGAGCCTGGCACTGAGGCTTGCTTCCACTTTAAAAGTGTGCAAGGTTAACAAAATGTTTCATACTCGAGTATATGCACAGTTAATGTGTATGAATTCTATGAATAATGTTTGAAACTCCCTTCTCCAATGCATTTTTTTAGTTTCCTATAATAAGGCATAAAGCTCATCATGATTTAAGAGACCTGAGTCTGGAAAGACACTGACCATGTACTTTTAATGCTGCTTGCGTTTGAGGCAGTTTCTTGTTTTGATTTGTCTGAAGATTTCTAGTTTCTTCCTCATAGAGCAAGAGTTTTGTGAAGGATGGTTTCTTAGATACTTGTCCATGTGGAAATCAATAGCAGAGTTTTCATGGACTTGAACAGGAGTTTGACTGATCTCCAGCCAGTGCAGTTGTTCTGCTTTGTTGTGTCTTGTGTGAAGACCAGCTATCTAAAGTGAACCTGTACTATGCATACCTTCTTGCAAAACGAAATGCTTTAGAAGAATGTACAATCTTAAGCAAATGTTCCTTTTCAAAGGAGGCTAACTGCTTTGGTTTAACTTGTAGGAGTATTGGCTGGCACCTCTTCCGTTGCTCATCCCTCTAAGTACCCACCTCTTGGTATCCATTCCAGCTAAACTACTTGAAAATCTTAATACTAGGCAGAAGGAAATACTTGATTTGGTCCTGAATAAAGTGGGTAGCAGTGGATAGAAGAGTAGAATACATGCATGAATGAACAGCCTGTTGAGACCTTCTGGTTTTTACTATTAATTTGCTTTCTCACCGTTAGCAGTGATGAAAATTTAAGGTAGCTCAAGTGACTTTTAATGATCTAAGTCAAAGGGATTTTCCACAAAGCTTTTGTGAGAGTGGGTGATTTGGCTTTAATTTTGGGTTTAATGCATTTGTTTATGCTATTTTTGTGTGTTCATTTTAAGATTTTTCTGAAGTCTGGCTTGAGTAATAACTTTCTGTCTCCAGTATCTGAAGCACATCAGGTTTTATTTTCTCTAAAACTCATCAATACCTAGATTTAACTAGTTCAAATAACAAAACAGATGTATTTATACTATGTTGAAGGGAATATGGTGAATTGTTGTGTTTGTTCATTAATAAAAAATGCACTCTACTATATCAACACCATATTCTTTACTAGTCTGAATAAAATCATTAAAAAGCTTTTTATGGCACTTTCAGAATAGCTATGGACTGCTATCTTCTGAATGCTAGACCATTTCTGGAGATATTGTAAAAAGTTTAGTAAGTTTGATAAAGCAGTGATCTATAACAACATCTATATTAACTTGGCATGGATTTTTTTGTGGTTTGTTCAGAATATTTTAATTGGTGTATTATGTATTATGTTAACTTCTGGTTTTTTTTTCTGACATTTATTGTACAGCTTGGATTTTTACTAAAAAGCTAGGTTTCTCAAAGATGAAATTTTCTGTATCAAAACTATGGAGGTTATTTCAAATCTTCAGACCAATAACACTTTCATAAGTAAATAAATAAATAAATAGAAATATTTCCATTTTCCTTTACGAAATTATTTTTTCCTTGGTGCTTAAGCAAAAAGGTCAAGGGAGATGAGAGAAAAAAAAAAAAGAACACAGGGTAAAGAAGAAGACACCTACATTCAGGATAAAATTGAGAAACTAGGTAATGTTTGTGGCACATATTTGAATTGAAGAACTTCAGCACAAGTGCTATAGCCTTAGGTATTTTGCTGGTCTCTAGTCTCATTTTCAAGTGCCACATTGAAAAGCAGAAGTGCCAGCAGTACCTCTTAACAACTACTAGAAACCATTGCTTTCCAGATAAGTAGGAACATTCAGCATCTCCATTCACACTGAAACTGAAGTGATTATGCTTACATGTATGTGTGTATGTAAGCATATACATTTGCATACAATATATTTTTTAATTAGAATTTAATCATACTGAAATTGAACAACCACCATGCAAAGATGGTAGCATGAAGTTGTATGGCTATGGTCCCTTTTGTTTTTTTTCCATCATTAAATGCATTTTGTCAGCCCGTTTGTCAAAGGTGCTAGAGCTTCCTTGGCCTGGGGCCTGCAGAGTAGGTGCAGATGGGTGCAGTGAATCTATCTCTGCTTGACACAACCAGTGCAACTAGGGATGTAGTCCTTTTGGCACTGACTGGACATCATTGAGAACATCGACGATTTGCAAGTTGCTTGATTTCTGTGGAAGGTACACTTCTCCTTTTGAACAAATTTTGGCATTTGCATGTATACAACAAAGCCATTGCATGCTGCAGGAACATTTCATAATCAAAAATTACTGCAGATTTGTTTTAATCCACTTTATGCATATTTCTTCCACCTCAGCTATCAGAGCTTTCAGTGTCAAAATGTGCTGTTAGAGGGGAATCACTTCTGAGTTAGGCTTTCCTGTGGCTCCTGGAGTACTTGCTTTGCATTCACTCAGTACCAAAAAGTGATTCTCATTCTGGGTTGTAAATAGCCTGGAGCAGAAACAGGGAAGATGAAGAAAATGTTTTTGTTACTAATTGTTCCCTTCTGTGTAATAAAGGCATTGCTGAAGTCTTCTTGGGATGTAAGGTGACTGCATTGGACCAGTATTTATTGAAGATAGAGAAGAAGATCACTAATGGAAGGTTTCATCATTAGACTGTGCTGAGATAGAAATCTGTTTCTGAGTCTGATATCATCCCATCTAAGTCCTTGACCTGTTTCAACTTCCATTTAACAGCAAGGCATATGTCATGCTAAAGTTATATTGTGATGAGTCTGACTAAAGCGACTTCCGGAATCTTGTGTCTTCAGAATTTTCAACTTGACTTTAGCTGCTACACCCTTTCATTAGTAAATATTTATCAGTTTTACAAATGAAACAAATGATACACATTTGGAATTATTTTACGAGTGGAACTTCAGTTATGATGTCTATTCAGGAAATGTTATTTCTTTTCACAAGAAAATATATGAATTGGAAGAAATCATAAAATGCAGATGGTTTTTTTTCTTAAGGATGATAAATTAAATGCCTTTTTAAAAGTCTTTGGATGCTTGATTAGTTGTTGGAAATAGAAGATTGTTCTAGCTTTCATAAAGACAATTATATTACATGCAGTGAAAAAGGAATACAGTGCAGGATGCTACATGGTGAGGCTAATTTTGATTTTTAATTTAGCCTTTGGAAGTTGGGACTTCTGAGTTGTCTTCTGTTGTATTTTAGTTTTTACCTTCCTTTGGTATTTCAAGGACTGGTTGACGCTGGTAGTGGGATGCTGAGCAGCCTGCTGTTGTTGGTACTGCATGGGTTCTCAATGTCTCATTTTTAAATACTTATGGCCACACAAATTAACCAGTTTGGGGCCAGAAATGATTTTTCTTCAGTTGTCAAATTGGCAAGGATCACTGCACTTTCTTCTGTACTGGCCTATGTGGAAATGGAAGCTCACGATATA